CTCATCAGTTGGCAATATGAGAGATAAACTGCCCTTTTCTGTCAACAGTGACTGCTGACTGACTGATTATTAGTGTGTGGCTGGGATACTTCACAGTAACCTTATGAGATCCAGAAAAAATACAATATGTTAAATCATCAGTAGGCCTGAATATTTTATTGGGTCACAGGTACCTTTGTTTTCCAAAGTTTTGTAAGGTTCATGCTCTGTAAAAGCCAGTAAACAGCTTCTGTTATACTACCTTTATAAGAAAAATCTTTTTCACCACAGTAGATTCAATATCTTGATTCAATATCTTCAATGTCTCTGTAAGCCCTTTTCTTTCGTCCTAATATTTGTTTGCTTGTAAGTTGCAAGCTCTGACTCAGGGACTGTTTCTCTCTGGTTTTTTGAAAAGTGTCCCTTGATACAAGGGATCATTGACTGCACTCATATGAATGACTGTATAATGCATAGATTAATACATAATGGTAATACATTTTGTTATGAAAGACAGTACACAAAGTCAAGCTAAATTCTCAGTTTTCAACCTAGTAAATTGAGTTTAATTCCGAAGTGGCATAAAAGAAATTATGTTCACTGTTCTCCCTTGGTTGTCTTGTTTGGAGATACGTTTTCTTTCTTCTGCCTGAAAAGTAACTGTTCCTTTAAGTAGTCTGAAAGATAACAGTTCCTAACTAGCAGAAAGCTATGAAATAATCAACATGAAGTATTTTCTCCAGCAAGATGTCCCAAGAGGCAATATCAATACTGAAATGTTATCCTTCCTAAGAAGCAGTATGTGGCACAAAACAAACAAAACTGTTGTAATGTTATAAGCTCTCTAAATTGTCGTCTGAGTGTATATATCCAACTTGTGGTTAACAGCTTTTATTTAGTATGATCTTTTAACAAATTAGGAGTTGAGTAGAGGCTAGAAAAGTTTATAAATAGTGCTATTGTACTGGAAGCAAAGGAATTCAGATACAGTCAGTGATGCATCAACTTAATGAACAAGTTGTTAGACCTGCGAGATGAGAAGTGATCTGATGTAACAGGTAAAGGTGACATTTTTCTTGAAAGATGTTCAAAAGGTATAAGAATAGATATATTTCAAACCATGAATTGTAGTGTATTGCATTTGCAAGCACATTTAGGTAGGCAAGTGCAGAAATAGCAGTAGCACAAATGGGTTTGGAAATTGTTTCTCACAATTCTAATTTGCTTCCTTAGCAGAGTAATAGGCCTTGCGGCTACGGGAAATGCAATAGATATCATGTGCTTGATGTTAGTTAGGCCTTTGATTGAATGGTATTTTCAGAAGTAATGTAGGAAAATATGGTCTAGAGGAAACCATGGTGTTAAGCTCCCTAAGTCTTGAAAAGGGACAGGATTAAAAACATTTTCTTTAGCATTTTCCTTAAACTAGTTTTAGCTGACTCTCCAGTCAGTGTGCAGACTGCAGTGAGTCTCATTCAATCATCTGGTTATTCCGAGGCATCATCGTGGAAGTTGATAACATTTCGGTTAGGATTGTGAATTCCGCTCTGGAAACCAGACATGGTTTGGGATTTTAAGTATTGCGGTATTTAAATTGTAAATCTAACCCAGATGTTAAAGACCTCTTGTAAACACGAGGACTTCATTACCTACTCTTAAGTGACTCCCTTTGGCAAGATTCTACATTTGAAAGAGACATCTCCATAAAAGATGCTTACACTCTACAGATGCTTGCACCTTTCATGCATCACGTTAGTGCCTTGTATTGCCTGAAATGCTCTCTTTGGGTCTTGGGCTAGAAGAAATCTAGCCTCTTTAAAATCTCTGCAAAGAAATTTCATGTAGCGTCAGCCTCATCGTTCTGTGTGTTTGTATATCATATTATGATAATAATTTGATAATTTGAGTCTGTGTTTGACTTGATCGTGATTTCAGATTGATCACTGTTATTGCATCTTCAATTAACTTGTAAATTAGCCTATTCACTTCCTAAAGTTTGTGTTTGCTTGCTTATCACGTTCAGAAAAATCTCAGACAAACTAGTAGAATTGGATTATCCTATCAAATTATAATAAGAAATGTGAAGTGAAAGGTATAAGAAACACTGAGAAGAATTTGCAGATAAGTGATTGTACCCTTTCAATATTGTATTTTACCACATTTACCATTTTTTCGGGTGTAATGCTGAAGTTTCTTTAGATGGTCCATCACCTCTTGAAGGGAGCATGTAAAATCCTCTAAAACCATGGATTTTTATTCTGATATTTAAAAATTTTGTATAAGAAGAAAATGAAATACAAAGAAATGTGTCATGGGTTTTGTTTTGTTCATTTTTGTGTATGTACTGTACAAACGCCTGTGTATGAAGGAGCAGGTGTAGGTACATGAAGGCATGTGTGCTCTCACACACGCTTACCAGTGTTGTGTTATCTTACAGATCTTACAGATCTTCAGGACGATTAAATCTGTGTTTTGAGCGACTTTTATTTGAAAAATCATTGGTTATCAGCATATTTCATGAACTGCAGTGTGTATCTTCATATAATCCCCTTTTCAATTGGGACGTTCAGAATCTGGCCCAAAGTAAATTTTCACAGATGATAACTTTAGAGCTTATTTTTTATAGTTCTTAGTTCAGTCTACTGTAGCTTTCCTGTTATAAAATGTGACAGAATCCATAATCTAATCATAGTACGTAAGTAGCTAGTGGGCTACTAGTTTGTTCAGCCATGACATTTGTTGTTTGCTTTCTTTCCTAAGATTGTGGCATTTACTTCCATTACAGCCTTGTGAAGTTGCAGTAAAATGAAATCTCTGTCAAGTATGATCGAATGTACAGAGACAGAACTGTCCAAAAAACAAAAGGATAAAGCATTGATCTTCCTCTTCAATACTGTTTTCTCCTTTCTAGAAAAAAAGTGGGTTTTTTGTCAATGTAGTTGGCTATGTGATAGTACAGCAAATAGAGTTCTTAGTCCAATTCTCCCATGAATCTACGGTTAATGTCACTAGTAACTGTGTTACCAGCATCTCTGCAAAGCAGTATCAGTTATTAAATGAGGTGCCAGACTAGTATTTTACCTCAGCGAACTCTTGAAATGGCATGTCCGTACTGAAATAGGCTGTCCCCTGGATGAGTGGGTATTCAGTACTTGGAGGTACTTGGGAGTGCTGGATTAGCAAATACGGATATGACTTATATACATCTTAACACTTAGAAGTGGTTTAGATAGGATTTTCTTTTGCAGATGACAGTTGTTGCCCATAGTTCATTCCTAGCATGTATACAGCACACAGAATAGCGATCTTCCATTTATAATCATAGGAAATGTCACTTCTGAAGAGTTTATGTTTAATGAACATAATTTATGTTTAATACCAGTCTGTGCCTCAGATCTCCAATGGGAATTTTTCTTGCGGAATAACAGCAGATATATTTGTTTGAATATTTGCATAGATATACACAAGAAATCCTTTTCTTTTTATGTATTTATGAACTTGTATGAATGTTCTGGTTTTGAGGAGGAAATAAAATGTTGAAATAGAAACCATTTATTCTATGCCCTGTGCTTAATAAGTATCGACTGTTCAGCTTTTTAAGCTGAAGCATCGTTAATGAGTGTGTGCTCTGTTAATGCTGGACGTTTTTTAATCCAATACCTTTTTTACTGGTTTTTTTTTTTTTTTTTTTACTTCATTGCACATAATGCTTTGGACTCCTGAAATCGTCTGAAGTTCAGACCTGTGGTGTTCATAGGCAGAGGAAATGAGTATATTGTGAGCTGGAGAGGAAAAGGAGCAATAAATATGTAGCAGTTAAGTTGTGAATATAAATCAGACAAGAAAATTGCACTTAACATTTATCATGTGTATCTGTGACATTCAGTGAAATTCCATCATGACAGATTTCAGTGAATTTCTTCATGATAAATGAATCTTCAAGAGAGATAAAACCATGGAGCAATTTAGTATCTTGGGGAACAGCTTAAGGGAATTCAAATATATCTTTTTTTTTCTGAGAGAGAGAGAGACTGTGTGAGAGAGCAAGCAATGTAATAGGAATGAGCAGGAAATCAAAACTAACCTTATCTGGAGAAGAAGGATGTTTTATAGACCAGATGTAGGCAAGATCATGGAAAGGTTTATAGATGGGGATGTTCTCTTCAATTTGTCGTTTTTAGTTTGGTAATTTATGTAACGTGTGGACGCAAAGACTTTAGATTTGGAGACTTAGCCTGTGAACTATCTTCTATAAATTTCCATACGTTTTGTATATTTAAGTGATCCAGACTGCTCTGGATATTTCGACAAAAACGTCTGAGGACCTGTAGCTTCAATCATGGTAACTGCATTTCAGCTGCCTGTAATTGAAGTACCTTTTAGTGGGAACTTGACTTCCCTCTGCTCATCCTTAGTAATAGCAAGGTTTTGATTTAAGTTGTATTTAGAACTTAACTAAATAAAGCAAACATGTTGCTCCTGAATACTTTGGAACTTGTTCCTTCATGATAAATGCAAAGCTATTTCAATGTTTTTTTTTTATTTTTCTGATTATGTAATATTGCTAATGTGTATCAATAGTATTGTAAGCTTTGTTCTGTCTGCAATTTCTGTAGATGTGTGAACTATTAGGTACAAATTCCCATTTTTGCACTTTTAGTGGACACTTTAAGTGCAATTTAATTTAGTGTTATAAGTGGAGACTATGTATTTGAAAATCTCATGGATTGATTAGAACAACAACTTTCAGTAATTCTTTAAAACAGATATTTCTACAATCCCTGCTTTCTTCAAACTACAATTCATTTGCACTTCATGCGTATCTGATCTTTTTTTTCTCATTTGTTCACAAAATGAAGTTAGGAACACGTACAAATCTTGTCTTAGCAAAAGACAGATAAAAAGTGCAGCCCCACAGATAAACTTCTCTATGTAAGCAAGGTTATTTTTATTGTTAGTTTGGTTATTACCATTAGTTTTCCTCAGTGTATAGACTACCATGTTCGTTTTATCTAATGCAGGAGGCGTTAAAAGACAACAACAAAAAAAGAGAACTGGAGGAGAAAACTAAGAGAGCTAAGCTGGCAAAAGAGAAGGCTGAACGAGAGAAGCTGGAGCGGCAGAAGAAGAAGCAGCAGTTGATTGATATGAACAAAGGTAAGGCATCATTTTTAGTAGAGAGATTTGTTAAAAGAAAAAAAATAGCTATGGGGAATACCAGACCAAAGATTGTTGCAAATAAATATCAAAAATACTTACTGTCTGTTTTGAAAACAGAAAAAAAAATTAACTTTTTAAGTTAAAATGTTTTGTTTTGTTTTAGCCTACCGGATCTTGTAATTCTGCATCTGTCCCTTAATGTGTGTAATATTCCCTTTAAGGCATTTTGTTGTGAATTACTGGCTTATTTTCATTTGTTGCAGTTAATTGATTTTATACATATATATATATATAGATTTGCTTCCAAGAAAAAGTATCTTACTTGTTTTGTTGTTAATTCCATTCTGTAAACATCTTTATAATCAAGATAATGTGGCAATTAACGTCTATCTTTTTGAGCTTGGAGGCTCCTTATTATAATGGATGTTCTCCCAACAGTACTATTATAAGCTGGAAAATCTATTTTAGCTCCACACCTAAATACAGAATGACATTTCAGTATGATAAAAAAGCAATGTGTTGAGTTTGTCAGCTGTGAGATCATTATATTGCACATGAAGCCACCCTAAGAGAAGAAAAGTAAGAAGGCAGGAGGAATCAGGTGGTCCCTAATATCGATGTTTTGCAGAGTTGTAAAAGTTGCAAAATGTATGCTATATTTTTCACCTATTGGACTCTGGAAGGGAAGGAGAGGTGATAAAACTATAAGTTAAATTATTCAAGCGATTACTTCAGGCTGCATTTTTGTTCTGTTTCCATGAGTTTGGAAAGTTGGCCTTTTTATCCATTGAAAAATCTATCAGATGCGCTCATGGCAAAATACTACGGGACATTTTCTGGTTATGATGACCTTTATGGAAGACATGGTGGTGATTTAACTCTCTGTCAGGATGATGTTGCAGTAAACCTGTATAGTTTACTAACCATAATATTGACATAGTGTTGTGCTGGTGTTGGATAAAATATGAGGTAAGTTTTGAAATAACATTTATTTCAAAGGCATATGTGCAGTATCTGTAACAGATGTCAATTTATATAAGGATGAAAAATACTGGAGAAATAGTAGGCCAGGCAGACAGACCCCCTCCAACAAGTAAGAGGATGACTGTGGAGGTAAACATAGTCAGAGTCATGGAGGGGCCAGGTTCTGTTCAGAATCTCAATCACTGACAATGCAATAGCGCAGAAATAATAGAACCTAAATGATATTTTTTGATGTTGCATGCTTTTAGAATGCTAATATTTCTGTCCTATTAGCATGTTTCCCATCACTAGTGAAAGTCTTGTGCGTTGACAGCCAGCTCTTGAAGGACGTTAGGCCGCCAACCTTCCCTTGCTGTTTAGCAACCATGATCCTCTAAAATATGTGTTCGTGGTAGGCTTAACCTTCAGTCTTCACTTTGAATGAACGTATGCATAAAGTGGCCTCTACAGAGAGCTCTAGTGGAAATACATAGATCTCATGGAAGCACTTCAGAAAACCATTTCTTTACCAACTTCTTTGCTCCATCCCTGTGTTCTGTGAAGAGGAAAGAGAATCTGAAGAAGACAGATTGTTTTTCTCTGAACTTTCTGTTCATTACAGTGGCAAGTACATGTGACTCAGTGCTTGACATAATCTGACATTTTCTCCAAGATGAGTAGCGGACACACATTCTGTGGTGCACTTTGAAACCTCCTCCATGATCTGTGCAGTTCTCCTCCATGCAGTTTTTTCATCACTGCAGCTATTTACATTTGAACCATTATTTCATTTTTATTTATTTTTAACTCAAATTCTTACACTGAAAAAAGCCCCAGCTATGTAGTTATGCTACTATCAATATACCTGATAAGTATGTCCTCTACATAAGCATTTGTTTGTCAGACTGAATCATATTTACAATCATTTAACAGCTTATGCGGTTTTATCTGTATTGATATATGTATACAAATGTAATCACTTTTTACTCAGACATTTCACAATTTAAATTTGCTAAGAATTTGCTAAGAAACCAAAGAATTTTTTAATCTAGTCCTTAGTCTGTTCCTGAAACTGCAAATGCGTGAATGACTGTACATTACCAAATGCTCTGAAATTGTCATTTAAATGACTAATATTTCTAAAACAGTAACACAAAGTCAATCTAATACTAAAATATTTTTCCAGTATTTAAATGGCTGTTTATTGAAATATGCATTCCACAAATTACAACTATATTGCCACATCAGGAGGATGGGGCGTGAGACAGATCCATCCCCATAGCATTCTAGAGCGTTGGTATTCAATTAATGTTTTTTTTGCCAAGTTACTATTTTTTCTGGAAATACCCACTTCTGAATGCCTTTTGCTGCTTACGTAAATAGTTTACAAATTTCTCTAAGCTAATATGATACAGAACGCTTAGAGGAAACAGACAGATGTCTTCTCAAGCTGTCATTTTGACAAGGTGATTTTCACCCAAAGGGTATTTTAAACTAGCTCAGTTTCAGTTATTTCTCTAGCTGTATCTTCAAGAATAATATTTTAATGTACGGCCTTTCACATCAGAGTAATAGGGTTCCTATGTTTTTTCCAGCTTCTTAGGATGTAATTTTATGGTAAGGTTTTTTGTTTTTTGTTTTTTGTTTTTTTGCTATTACCCAGATATGCAGCTGCAATTTTTTTGTGGCCACTGGAAAAATCCGGGGTAGAATTAATTCCTTTTCTGTTTCTTGGCATGAGAGAGAGAGAGCGCAGAAAACTGCAGTGTGGCCAGAGACAGGAACTGCCCTGTGCGATTCCTAGTTGTAGAAAAACCTTAGAGTTGCCAATATTTTAGAGACCAGGTCACTTGATTTGCTGTTTTCTGCTTTGTGGAGTGCCTAGCCTATTTGAAATATCATATAAAGACAATTAGTGTCAACTAAACAATGTAAATACTACTGAACGTTCCTGCATGTGTAGGGTAAAGGAATGTAAAGTGAGAAATAGAAAACCTCTCAACTCCATATATGCTTTCAAGTGACTTGCACTGGATGGTGTTTTATGAGCTTAAGTAATTGTAAATCTTAAAATACCTCCATGTTTTCAAAATATCAGTATTTACATTAAAAAAAACAGAATCAGGCTGATTTTGACAGGTGAAAAAAGCGGTATTTACCTTCCAAAAGAAATGTTTTCCTTTCTGGCATTCTCATCACTCTGCTATTATTTCAGCATCTGCTTATTATGTTTCCTGGACTAGTAAGGTACTTTTTTATACCTACTTTACTGGTGAGGTATGGAGGCATAGAAAGACTTAAGTGAGTTACCCGTACGAGTAGAAATCCCAAATTTCAGTATAAATCAGGAAGCATTTTTTCTTGTTACAGGATAGAAATTCTGTAGGAAAAAAAGCTTGTGTCATCTTTTCTTTAGCACGTACTAGCTCTATGGAACGAGAATATTTTTCTGGCAGTTTTTCAGCAGCGTTTCCTATTTTTTGAGGGCTACAGCAGACTGGGCTATACTTATGTATTTATGCTTAGTCTTTCATGACTTTTGTCTGATTTAACCTCTGCAAAATTCTTGCCACATTACTTCCATGTGCATATCTGAGCAAGAGAGGGGAAAAAACTGAAGACAGCTTTCTGGGAGCTGAAAAGCGTGTAACAGCAATTCTGATGCAAATGCTATTTAATCAGAAACAGTTTTGCTCTTCATTATATCTGATTACCATGGCAATTAAGATCACCTTTTAACTACCAGTATGAGGATAAAAGCTAGAATGAGCTTCCTCAGTCCCAATTAGTATTGAATTAATTGTTTTGAAGACATACTAACATCCTCTCCTAATGCAGATGAAGATAATGGAAGTGAAGTTCTTTGCTAGTGGTTAATGGATGTTCCTGCTTTTCTTTTTCAAATCTTCTTGTGTAAGTCATGCCATTTATTCAGGCAGTGTATATTCTCAGACCAGCGTCAACAGTAATTCTGTTGTGCTTCCTTAAACTGTTACACTTGCATTGACTGTTGCAGGATACAATTGAAGAAGGTCATTTTTGCTACTGTTTTCTAAGGACTCTGTTCTTTTCTAATTGTTATGTCCTTCTTGTGTATCCTTCAGTATGTTTGTATAAACAAAACTCCATACTAAATTTAGTACGAGAAGCATATTATTTTGAAATGTTAGCATCTTAGCCTTTATACTTTGAGCTTATATGTTGAGTAGTGGTTGCATAGGATATCTAGAGTAATGAAACATGTACATATTTGCATTCTGCAACTTGTTAGTTTGTGATGCTGGATGCCAGTGAGATAAATGTTAGACTTCATGTTGAGAGTCATGCTTTTCACGTCGATGGTCTGTTTTGAATATGCTACACTTATCCTAAAACGTATTGTTCATAGGGAAAAATCAGATGGAGATTTACGTGATGCTTAAATGTGATCATCTGTAGAACCAGGGTGAAAATTGATTTTTGTCATCTTCAGAGCAATTTTGTGTGATATTTGCCAAATTTTTAAGCTTCATTTATGTCTTTGTTTGAAGAGGTCTTGAAAATGGGTGAAGGGGAAAGGAATGAAAATTACTATGAATATTTTCATTAATATGGGTCAAAACCAGCTCAAGAGAGATGCAAATAGCTATGAGCATGGAGTGGAAGATAAAAAGAAATTAGAAATTAAAATTTAATCTCACCTTTAAAAAATTTTGTAATGGAAAATTTCTTTATGAATACTGCATGTCGCACCTTCCAAGCAAACTGAAGAAACTACATGAGGTAATTTTTCAGAGAAAAAAAGAAACGATTAGACTCAATGAAATCAGAGCTTTGGAGGTAGCGATTTACAGGTGGCGAAAGAGAGAACAATTTAATATTTTTCTCTCAAAAATAGGCTTCTTGGGGACTGTTTGCTAAACAGTAACAAGTGTTAACTTCAAGTATAGTGTTCTGTGCAAATTCCACTTTCCTTTTACATGGATAAAGTATTATTATTTCAAACGATGTTTACCATTTTTACTCTTAAAAGATACCTGTGCTATTCTCTATTT